AAAGTGCTTTTTTGTTTTTTTTGGCCGAAAGACTTTTATCACCGAAACCACATAACATCCATAACAGGAAGTTATAATGACGCAAGCAAAAACCATGGCCAGCATGGGCTTGTCGGAATATCTACAGTGTGGACGTATTTCAATACATCTGAGAAAGACCCACAGATAGCGATTTGCAAAACGTGTAATGCTGAAATTTCAAGAGGGCAGTGGGCTCTATTCGGATCCTCTGCACTTGTCGCCGCTGTACTTGAATCGCGTCATAAAGATCAGTACTTGGATGCGTGATTAAAGCAGCGCGCACGAGAAACGATGGACTTGGAGAACCCGCTTGGAGACGGAGAAGCTCACAGCGCAGCGGAGAAGGAGAGCAGTGTGCCAGGGGAGGGGCAAGGGTATGATATGTTTTGTGAGATCCTGCAAGAGAGTTCCTCAAATAATAATTATAGTAAGGATGCACCGAATTTTCGGCATCGGAAAATGAATTGCAATTTGTGCAATTGCAGAGCTTTAGGTTTAGTACACAGTCATAGCCATAAATGCAATGGTACTAATAATTGTCCTAATAATTTCTTATGGTGTTTCTGGGTTTCCTCATTTTCGGTTTTGGCCAAGAATTTTAATTTCGATGCATCACTAAATAATAGGTAGGCTATTCTGTTCTCACTTCTGCTTCTACTTCTACTATGAGACTATCAGTTCATTTTATTTCTCTTCGCTAGACATTTTACAATTAATTATTTGAACAATTATTTATTTATTTATTGAATATTCATTGATGCAATTGCAGTCATAGCCATAAATGCAATGTTATTAATAATTGGCATAAACATTTCTTTCTGTCTTTTGTGGGGTTTTTTTTTCCGGTTTTCTGCCTTGGTTTCCAGATTTTCGGTTTTTGGTTTCAGGCCAAGAACTTTTATTTTGGTGCATCACTAGTTTTTAGGGATGTTAATTTTTTCCTGATATCTGATATGCCAAAATTGTCCAAACACTTATTTTCCGATTCTGATAGCAACCAATATAGCAGGGCGGTGGTAGATGTTAAGCGTTGCCTGCTCAATCAAGTGATGCGTTAAAACAAACAAACAATTTTCAATTATTTTCTGCCCACCTATAAGAAAGAATTCAAATTAAAATCAGAAATAAAATGATTAAAATGAGCTACAATGCTCCCTGTTGATTTCTAGTATGTTATTCACTCTGTCTGTCTGTGGGTTGAGCTAATCCAAAATAGTGAAAAGGGGGTGGAGGTGATGACAGAATTTTGTTTGAACCAGAATGTCCACTGGGAGATTACAGCCCTAATTTGAAGACACTTGAAGTTCCTCCAATACACTTCTTCCGGAAATTATTTTCGATAATGTAATTTAACTATAAAAACTAGGCCAAATTTCAACTGGCTATTATTTGAAGAAACTTTACACGAAATGCACAGCACGTCACTGGATTTTACCTCATGTGAATGTACAGTTCAGCCTAAGCCAGATGCATTGAAGAGAGAGAAGTAAATGACAGATGAAGGGGGGGGGTAAAGTTTTTTTTGCCACCATTACACAGAAAAGCACACACAGGGAAGAGACAGAGCAATTTATTTTCCTGTACTTTTTGCTTGTAACCATTGCAACCAAATAAATTTTATGATAAATGGAAAATATATAAGACGATAGAGAGAGAGAAGGGGGAAGGGAAAATGTTCACTTAGGGGTAAGAAAAAAAAAATCTTTAAATGACTAAGAGAGAGATATACAATGGTAAGGTTAAGCAAACACAAAATATGCTCCCTGTGTTTTCCTTCTAAAATTGACCCCACCCAAGATATAGTATTAAACAAAGAGACAGCAAGGAGGCCCCTGATAACTGCCGAAGAAGTGTCGAATATCCAAGTAAACAAGCATTGCGTCATCAAATTGCAGTCTCCCAAAGCGAGGTCGAGTACATTTTCAGCCTCTGTGTTTTTTTCACAGGTGTATATCCCATGTCTGTGTTAGAAGACAAAGTGCCAGGTGAAGAGGTGGGTCGACTCATAGCTAAGGACCCTGACCTTGGGGACAATGGCCTGGTGAACTATCGCCTGATAGATGGAGATGGAATGGACGTGTTTGAACTAACCACGGACTCTGAATCCAGGGAGGCCGTAATCAAACTGAAGAAGGTACGGAGAATAAAAGGTGCATTGACAAATATGTTTGGTCCACTTAACCCAGTGGTTCAATATTATTGTCTGTCCTCCCGGGGACAGAAATATTTTCACACACACCCAAAATTGAAATACAATTGAGCACATGATAATATGTATGTATTTCTTATCTGTACAAACCAGTTTATGAATTGCTGCCACCTAGTGACTTGACGTGCCATTTTCTGTTGAAAGGCTCTTACAACCAGCCGTTTTCTTTTTTTTTTCTCTCTTTGTGAAATATATGTTACTTTTTGATACAGACCAACATTATCAGCCACACACACTTCTCAGAATATCAACAGCTGTGACTTTTAGGGTCACACAAAATAGACATAGTACATAACACACCCTGCATAAGAAAAAGACAGACATTTCATATGATCGCAAAGCCAATTAGGAAGGAAAGGAAGGAAAGTGAACTCCTTGTCACTGTGACAAACACCACGAAATATGACCTCTGCATTTAATCCATCACCAAAGTGAACAGTGGGCAGCTCAGAGAACCTCAGTGGTAACTTAGCAGCTTGTGGATTCGAACCTTCATGCGACCTTCCGGACTCATGTCCACTTTCTTAACCACTAAGCCACCACTGCTACCGCTATATGACAATAATAACACACCTGTTGAGTTTTGGCTGACAGGCAGACCAAACAGGGATGGCTCAGGAGGCATCAGTTACAAAATTGCAATGGTACAATAGTGGTTGCATAGTGTTCAATTCCCAAAGGGACCACCATTTCCTGTTAGTTGCAACCGTGTGCTAAATAGTGCCTTCCGTGTCAGTTGCAAAGTGCTCACTGTGCAAATGTTCTCTTTGTGGGGCAAAAAACGGACTCAATTCAATAATAACTTCAATAATTTCCCCAGTGTGTATACAGTAATAATTAGTGATGTTCGATACCACCAATTTCCTTTCCGATCCCATACCGAGTAAAATTCGGGTTGGTATCGCCGATACCGATATCAATACCGATATTTTATCATTTGTCTTTTAAATAAAAAAAATGTGTATTTCAAATCATAGCTTCTTTAAGAATCCAAGGCAGAGTTTTTTATTTATTTATTTATTTTAAACTCTGGAGTGTACTGAGGTAGCTGCCTCATTTACTATACAGTCAACACAACAATAGAAAAACCTGAGAACACAATCATATAAAATATGTCAAAACAATGTTTCAAACTCTGAAAAGAAATAAATACAATTGTAAAAACATCAAAATAAATTAAAGTGACTTATTTTTTGCGTTCCGACATTTTACAAACAGACTTTGACTAATAGTGATGCGCGATTCGCAAACAAACAGGGGGTGGAGGAAGGGAAGCATTGCGCACGCACACAGACGCAACCTGCAGGAGCTCAGGGGGGAGAGGAGGGGATGCGCTACAGTTGCATACACACACACTACAGAGAATGGGAGAAAAAGAAGTAGTCCCACCAACCGAGTGTCGCTTAGACAACATCTCAATAATTTGGATACTTTTCACCATGTTTCTGTTTAGGATACACCTCATCTCAGAATGCGTAAGTATCAAAAGTATCGATATTTTGATTTCAGAATCGATTTCAGAGCATAAAGATCCAGAATCGGAAGTATCGATATTTCAGGATCGATCCGCACATCACTACTTAACAGCAGTCCATGTGATCATGCGCTGTGGTGCAGTTACAATAGTGAACCAGCAGAGGGGCCCAATGCTGCATTTGACTTTGTCACTGGACGAAGTATTAACATTAAACTTGCACAGTTTGTGTACTGTTGCGGTATTGTTGTGACGTACATATATTGTGTTTTGGTCTATAATTACCTCCGGGTGCACGAACGAGACAGAGCATTTATACTTGTAATCGTAAGCATCGGTCCTCAACTTTTTGGAATGGATAGGGATCTAGTATTTTACAACAACTGACACGATTTGGCAACGTGAAATGTTTTTGTCTACGTATGTTTACAGCGGCTCCTATTTGAGTTAGTCGTCAGTTGTTCCTGTAGCTTCGATCATTATACGGTTAAGTTTTATCTATGTTTATAGCGGATCCTTTTTTAGTCATTAATTGTACATGTGGCTCCGCTAATTCTACGGTTAAGTTTTATCTAACGTTTAAACATTTGACCCATGACTTAAAACGACATTGAGGGAGAGTATGAGCGTAGAGCAGGGGTGTGTCGTTATCGCTTCTCGGCCTTTTGGCTAAGATCAAGTGTAGTATCTGTTCTTATCAGTTTAATATCTGATACGTCCCCTACCCGGGGACCATATATTAAATTGATTTTTGGATCTGGGAGATGGAATAGGGGCTTGCTCCGTCCACTCCGCGTATCGACCTGGTATTGCAGTACCTCCAGGAACGGTGCACCCCCCAATAGGCAAAAGAGACAAGGTGACAAGAATGATCCCTTTTCGTTCTCTCACAGCCTGTTTGAGGCTCTCTGTCTTCTCTTCAAAGACAGACACACATACATGCACTCACTTGAAAACCATGACAGAGGTGAGCTTCAATCAGCCATTCTCTTTTAACTTAACAAAAGCCACACGTGGAATATTAAGGAGCCCTGCGTAATTGCAAAGTATCTAAGTGAGAAAAGAAGACGGAGGTTTAGGAAGAAAGGGGAAAAGTGCACGTTCCGTACAAAAATCATCACTATCCAGACCAGCCTCATTACAAATCTCACCAATACTGAGTGATACAGTGCATTAATGGAAGTGTAAACTGGAAGTTACATGTACCACGAAACAGAGAGCCTGCTGAAAAAACGAGGGATTTTGTTGGAATATTATTTCTGCAATCCACCTTCAAGTTGAAATTTACCTGTGATTTAGTGGAAGAATCGTTTTAGAGGAGGAAATGTGCATTACATTAGGACTTATACGCCAGTTTATTTTCTTTAAAATTAGAATTAGAGCATAGACTGCACTCACAACATCTGGATGATCTTGTGAACATAATTCTATCTTACACTTTTTCTCTCTGTATTTTTTCTTTCCTTCTAGCAAGTAGACTTTGAAAAGAAACGTTCATATACATTAAAGGTAGAGGGAGCGAATACTTATGTGGACCCACAATTCCTTGCTTGGGGACCCTACAAGGATCAAGCCACAATTAAGGTTTACTCATTATTTTTTATTATTGTTGTTGTTGTTGTTGTTAAAAGTAAGGCATTATTATTATTGTGTTTGTTTTGCTTGTTTGTGATTTTTATTTCAATACTAACAATGAATATTTGCCTAGATATCAGTGGAGGATGCAGATGAGCCTCCTGTATTTGTAGCTTCGAGTTACATGTTTGAGGTAGAGGAGAATGCACCAGAAGGTACACTAGTGGGACGGGTTCACGCCAAAGACACTGATGTAGCCAACAATCCTGTAAGGTAAAGCAGAAGTACAATGCACTCTAAACTTTGTGATACAATCAGGCAGCGGTTATTGAAAGTGGCTGTCTATCAAATGTTTGCAATACTCGACATCAGGATTTGTCATTTCTCTGTACAGGTACATGATCCCCCGGTATACAGATGTTGAGCAGTTCTTTAGCATCAACCCAGAAGATGGAAGGATAACCACAACAAGACCACTGGACAGAGAATCACAGGCCTGGCATAACATATCTGTATCAGCCATAGAAATAGGTAAGAAAACCTCAAGGGGAAGACAACAATTAACAGTACCAACCAGAGGTGTGGACTCGAGTCACATGACTTGGACTCGAGTCAGACTCGAGTCATCAATTTGATGACTTTAGACTCGACTTGACAAAATGTAAAGAGACTTGCAACTCGACTTGGACTTTAACATCAATGACTTGTGACTTCACTTGGACTTGAGCCCTTTGACTCGACAAGACTTGATACTTTCTCCAAAACCCAAAGTGATCTGTGTAAATATATTATTATTTTGTTTAAAAGGACTCAAAACAGAAACGTAAGGACTTGGACTTGACTTGACACTTTTTAGTCTTGACTTAGACGCGACTCGGACTTTGCCTGTCTTGACTTGAGACTTGACTCGGACTTGAGTGCAAAGACTTGAGACTTACTTATGACTTGCAAAGCAAGGACTTGGTCCCACCTCTGGTTATTGGTATCATTATCATGTTGCTTTAAAAAAAGAAGATAAACAGAATTGACAATACCAGAAAATTGAGATCTTGCATAAAAATGATGCATACATTTAAATTTTTATAACTCATTTTGAAATTCAGCACATTCTTTGCAGGTAGTTATTCAAACGAAACAATTAGAATAAGTGCATTTTTGGTGATAAACACAATCTAAATTGACTTTCATACTGTTCTTTTGCATTTTTGTCTACGCTCTGGAAACTGTTGTTGGTGGAAAGTTCTGGAGCTAAGTAAAAGAAAGTAGGAAAGAAAAAAAACACATTTTCAAGCCTTAAAGCAGTGAAACAGATGTGAAAATATTTAAGTTGAGGCACCACTGAAACTTTACACTTTGCTCCAGCACCACAAACTCCTGCTAACTATAGAGACAGAGAGGGAATATAAAAGGGGAATGCCAGCTGACCCGCAGGTCCTTCACAGAGCGTTTCCCTCATCTCATTCCCACACAAACCCTGCAGCCAGGGAGCCGCAGTGGCCCCACCCCGGTATTTTGTGGGTCTGGCTCAACTGGAAAAAATCGCTGTGTGTCTTTTTTGTGGCATAATAGACGCCAGTTGGCCAGATGGAAATGGGCTTGCCGCCACAAAGCCTGAACCATTGCAGGCTGTGCTAACCGCTGACAAGCCCTGTGAAACTAAATAAATGTTCTTTAATAATAGAGTAGCAGAAAAGGCAGGGGTTTTTTTTCTTGTTTATTTTTAGAGTCGATTGAAGAATACTAGCCTCTTTTTTAACTGGAGCTCAGTAAACGTTTAGTTCAAAAGCTACTGTAGGTTTTTAAGGGGGTTGTACTGATACATTGTTAACAATAAGTTAAACGTGTCAGCAACTCAGGGCCTCCGAGGCACAGATGCCAGAGAAAGAAAAAGCAAATATTAATTAAATTAAGGAAGAAAAACAAAAAAAACATTACCTCATTGTTTCATCTCTGTCAGTGGTTCTCAAACTGCGGTACATGGTACGCGAGCACTCTCTAGTGGTAGGCGGGGAAAATTCATATTTTCACATTTACATTTTCAGTTGAAGAAATCTGAAACGTACCATGCACAATTAATTTAAACATCTTTATAAACATTTATAAACATCTCTCCTGTGTGTTGGAAGCTAATAGGGAAGGCCTATGCTGCTATATTCTAATGTTGGTCATCATGGTGGTACTCAGAGAGCTCAATGTTTTCTCAGGTGGTACAGAGTATAAAATGTTTGAGAACCACTGATCTATGTCGAGAGCAATGCTTCTGAAATAATGAAGCAGGTGAGGTGTCACGGGGGCTGCCAGAGGGGACTTTCAATATAATGTCTTCATTTATTCAATTCAACGATAAACAAGCCTCCAATCACTAGGGGGCAGCATTGAGGAAACACTAAATCTCTGAACAAGCTTCAGTGAGGATGAGGATATAATGGTGAGATGAGAATGAGATTGGACACAAGCAGTAGCGTGGGAGTATATGCAAGTTTTGGGTTGCACGTTAAAACTCTGGCCACCAGATGTCACCAAAATGACACGTGTCGAAAAGCTTGAAAAACTGAAGCCCTTTTAAGACACAAGCTTCAGTTTTACATTTTGTAACACGTTTAAATTGATTTGAAATGATTGGTCCTAAAGTACACCCTGGCAGAACGTAGATAGATAAATAGATTAGATAGATTAGA